TCTTGCCCTGGGGAAACTACCAGCGTTGATCATCAGGGCATTTGTCAGTCTCCTCTTGGCAGAAGCCCTGTGTTTCAGACAGGTGAGCATGTAGAAAAACACATCACATCTAGCTCTTGATCATTCTTTTGGGATCTATTGCTCAGGTCATCATGCTAAACTTTCTCAATATTGATCAAAGACAGCTTCTTTTCAGAGAAGCTCTGGCTGCTCTGTCCCTGAAAGTGTTCAAGGTGAGTTGGATGGGGCTTGGAGCAACCCGGTGTCATGAAAAGTTTGCCTGCCTGTGGCAGGGGGGTGGATTGAGATGGTCTTCAACTTCTTTCCAACCCAAACCTTTCTGTGATTCTGTGATTATTTCCTAGGCCTCCTATGAGATAATACACAAAAGGCAGACACGGTTAAGAAGCATTCTGTTCGTTTGACTGCTTTTTACTGCCTCTACCTTGATAATATGAGATCTGTAGTTACCCCATCTTTTACATGAGGCAGAAGAAAGGAAACAATTGCCCCAAAAAGGGAAGAAAATTCTGTTTGCCAGGAAAACACTACTGGCATTTTTTCTCTCTATCATCTCCATCTTCTCCAACACATTATTCTAAAATAAACCCAACAAAAAGCTCTGCCCCCCCCAAGCTTTCCAACATAAGTAAACAAAACCCCTCAAGCAAACAAACAAACAAAAACCAAAAGGAAACCACAAGCAAGTAATCCTTAAATAAAAAGATTTAGGCAGTTTCAGAGATCCCACTGTGTGACTGACGTAGAGAACCAATGAGATCAAAATGAGTAATTACATAGGATAATAAAACTTTATTTCTGTTACATCCTGATAAGCAGCATAATGACTGCCTTGGCTAAGTGCAACTGGCTTTAATTCTCAGTCCCTTTCTCTGTAGAGTCTGTTCCAACTCCACTGTCAACTGCTGCCAGCCAGGTCAGCCCATTGCTCTGTGGAAGCTTGGAAGAAGAATCTCCCTTCCCTTCCTTTGCCCAGGTAAGCCATGTAGCAGAGTGAATCTTGTCAGAATTACCTGTGCCTTAGTTGGGGATTAGGCTTGAGACTACAATTGCTTCCCCTACAAAAATAATGTGGGATAAATCTTAGGGAGACATAAGGTTTGAGTGCTTGAAGGGGTTTCTAGATTTTCTTGCCACTTAGGGGGGCTGCAGGTTTGTTCAAGAATGTGGAATTTAATCATATCCTACAATTGTTTTGACAGATGTTGAGAGTTGGAAAGGCAAAACCAGAAACGTGGCCTAAACCTGCTCCAAAGACAAGAGGTAAGAACATTTGGTATTAGTACTTCATGTTCTTTACCATGGACCTAAATGTGAGAAATCTTGTAACTTGAAAAGAAGGATCTGGAGTGTGGAGGGGCATTTGTGTGGTGAAAGTTTTATACAGTCTTTGGCACATCCCTCCCTCTTTCAGATGAGAACACTTTGGCACTCCCTGTGCCAGGAGACAGTGATGGAGAAAGTGACAGCTCTGACCGGATACCTGTGCCCAGCTTCCAGAACTCCTTCAGCCAAGCTATTGAGGCAGCTCTCCTGAAACTGGACAAACCGTCCACAGCTGACCATTTATCAGGTAAAGGGCAGGAAAACTTTCTGAAGTGAAAAAATGAAAGTGAAAAACTTTCCTCTGTGAGAAGTGAAAGCAGCAATTTTGGGGACAAAAATTGGCCGGAGAGCAGTTCTGAAAATCATCAGGTTGTGGTTTCTGAACAGCTTGACTAGGGCTTCTGTCAGCTTAAAGCAGCTTCTTAGTGGGAACTGAGATCTCCAGCTAGCAAAGAATCCTGTTAGGACAAAGATGGCTTTTGACAATCATGTTGACCATGTCTCTGCTGTAATCTAAATTAAGCTTTATCTTAAGGAAGTTCAGGTTATACATTTCTTAACTAAAAATACCTGAGCTGCAGAACTACCACTTCAGTTTGACCAAAATGTCAAGGTAAGTGCTAGCTGAAATTTCAAAACAGGGAATGTGAAACAAATTGAGGTGAACTTAAATCTGGTGCTGGCTGGTGAAACTTATTTTTAATGCTCAGTTCTGATGTTTAGCTTTGGCTTCTGTTTGGAGACTGCACTGGATGATGGAGAGAGTTGGGTGGGAGAGCCTGGGAGTTTTAGTGGAGTGTCTGCTCCAGATGTGGTTTTTTTAGACATGTGTCAAAGTGATACTTGCTGTAAAGGCAAACTGCTGGATGCTGCAGTCCTAGGATCTGCTGTTGCAACAGCAACTTTACAATCATTTAGGCATGTTTATAATAGTATTTCAGCTGTGATGGAGTCTCCCCATCTGCAGTAATTTTTTTGTTAAACCACCTGGTGTTCAGTGAATTGTAGTAAGTGTTGTGGATCTGTAGAAGTCACTTAAACCAGGGAAGATCATTTATCATTTCTATGTGATGTTCCTCTTCCATTATAAGAATGACAGTATCATTTTAATTCTTCACAGAGGAAAAGGGAGGCAAGAAAAGAAAGAAACAGAAGCAGAAGCTATTGTTCAGCACCTCTGTTGTTCACACAAAGTGATTCTGCTATTCAAGAGAAGTTTCCTCTCCTGGTTTTCTTTTAATTTTGCTTTGTTTTGCTGCTATAGTTTAAGTATTTAAATTTGAACAGCCTAAACTTGTTTTTCCAGGACTTCTAGGGGCTTCAGGAGGAAACCATGACAATATATGTTGAAGTAACATGTTTGATTCCAACTGCTTAATGGATTTATACTGAAACAGAATTTTGGCAGTAACAACCCAGATACAAATCTGCCAAGGCTTCTAATTGCTGAGTCAATCCTTTGGGCCTGATAAGCAGTGTGAAAAGTCCTTATAGCTGTGTGGCACTGCCAAAGTACTGCAATATTATCCAAGAAAAAAGGTAGTGAGCCTTTATTTTTCTGTAATTATTCATGGGCAGAAGTCCAGCTGACTGACAGTGGTGCTGTCGCAGTAAAGCTGTCAAACTGCTCTCTTGAGAAACTGGTTTTGGCTGCACTGGATACAGGCAAAACAGCTTATTGGCTTTAGAGTGTTAGCTGCTATATCTGTTCTTTTTCTAAAGAAAGAGCAAGGATTCCTCCTGTTCTCCTGGCTTGGAAAGATACAAAGCTGAGTTGAGTGTAAAGCAGAACTTGGCTACTTGGTTTTAAAGTGGCTTCATGATTTTTGTATTTCAAAATGGCACTAGTGGTAGAAGGAACCTCCTGGCTTCTCTCAGTTGTTCAGGTCTGTTTTAATGTGGGTGAGTGAGGCTGCTACTTTTTGTTTGTTTTTTCCCAACCATGGGCTGCTCATTCTTTATAACCTGATCATCTAGAATAAACACTCCCCTCTAGGGCTCCTGGTAACCTTCTGAATGATTGTTTGATACTGGCTGCTCTTGAGTTGGGAGAACAACTGATAGCTGAAGTCTGTAGATAACTTTTACACCCCAGCAAGAAACTGGGTTCTCTTGTACTGGGATATAAGGGCCTGTATGTCCTTGGTTCTGGGATTTAAGTTGATCTGTGCTATGAACATGTCTCTTCTGGACCTTTCCCTGCTCTTTCTTTGGGTGGTCACATTCTGCACTGCTTGTGGTTTGATTTGAGCTACTGAGTCAAGTGGTGTGGATTTTGTTGAATAAAACAAATTTTAGGTGTAACATACCAGTCAAGGCCAACAGTTGCAATAAATCATACACACTCACATTTAGTGCTGCAGCTGAACTGTCATAGCAGCATGGAGCCCTAGAACACTGCACAGGTTCAAATTTTACCTTCCTGCTGGCAGAATTAACAGGGCACTGGTAAAAAGTACTACTGAATTTAGGGAGGGAGACTGACAGTGTTCTGTTGTCTTCAGCTTCAGTGTGCTCTGTCCCTCTGACACTGATCTGAGCAAGGAAGTATGTGTCTGAGGCAACCTGGAGTCAGGTATTCCAACACCACTGGCACTCAGTGGTTGTGTCCCTGTTTAAAAAGCTGATGTCAGTGCATGGGTGCTTGATTTCAGAGCCACAGGCTCCACATGTGTGCCTCATGGGAAGCTGGTCCAAAGAGTTGATCACATGTGGCTGTAAACCAGAAAGAACAGGAGGAGGAGGTAAAGAATACTTCCAACTGCTACAGGAAGATAGAGGAAACACCTGCAAGACATTCTTTGAAAGCAGCTTGACTTCACGCTTGGTCACAACTAACCCCACTCAATGAAAGACAGTACAGCTTGTCAGGGGACTGCAAAGAAACTAAGACAAGATACCTGGCAGTGGTAACATCTTGCTGTCAATACTTTAAACAATTAGTGAGGACAAAGAACACAATTTAGAGAGATTCAAATATGCAGTGAACTGTCTTTACAGCAAGTCATTTGAAGCTAAGGAACAGGAGTAACTACTTAAGTGTCTAACCAGTATCTGTTGTGTTCTGTTATCTCTGCACATTTATAGTCAACTTTTCTTTGCATTGGGAAGAGAGAATAGCTGGAGCTGGTGTAACTCACCTCCACATGTCACAGGCACTAGGATAAGGGAAGTGATGCAGGCAAGGCAGGCTGTCCCTGCTGCAGGGGCAGTCCCCACAGGGACAGCATCTTCAATTGTATCTTGTTTTCCTATGGATTCGAGATAATACCAGCAATGCTACTGTCCTGTAACTGATTGGTGTAAACTTAATAAATATCTAAGCAGTACTTGTACCTATGAGTTTTATAATGGGGGGAATGGAGTTGAGCCTTGCAGCTCTGCCATACATGCCATGTATTCACTGCTCCTGTGTACACAACTGGTGCTTTTCTCACTCAAAACAGTGGACAGCCCTGTGGCTAACAGTGCACTTAAAGTAAAAAGCAGATGTTAATGCTTTTTGTATGCTGAAGGAGAAAAACTACATTCTTTGTCTGTGCCAGCTGCCTAAAGCTCCCTTCTACCTCAGCATGAAGAACATATTGACCTGCCTCACTCCTCAGGAGGGCAAGTGGTTTTGACTTCTGGAGTGAAATAGGCAAGTAGCCTACTTAAATGAAATAATGTTTTATTTTTTTAATTTTTGTTTAAAAACATTTGGAATGGGGAATGAAGTCTAAATATGAACAAATGTTTTTCCAGTCCCCTGCACTGTTTAACACTGAAGATAACCAATCACATCTTGATTAAACAAGTACAGAATAGAGATGAACAGTAACAAGTGACATTCAGTCTGTCTCTGTGCCATCATCCTCTTCCTCATCTCCACTTTGAGACTGTTCTTCTGTAAGGGAACAGCTCAGCAAGGACTTCTGTATACATTGTCTTTCCTCTGCAAAAAAGAAAGCAACAGCGGGTTATTACTCGATCTCTTCACATATTCTGGACTGTCCTCCCTTTCTAAAGACAGAAACATTTCTCAGGCCAAGAATTCAGAAGTAGTCCAGCATATCCTACAGAAACCCAAGGATTTGAGACTACATTTTAGGAAAGTGGCTGGACAAACTCACCTTCATTTGTACAGTTTTGCAACAACCTCAGCAGCTGTGTTCTGTTATACTGAATCAGGAATTTCTGGCATGTTCTTATGGTACCTGTGGAAGTCAAAAGAACAGCCTGTAACAATCTACACAACCAAAGAGCATTGTATCAAGTGACAACTGCACCAGGAAACAAGGTTGATAATGCAAATGCCACAAAGGGGCTGTAGAATTCATTTCTTCACTACTGAGGTTAAGTGGTGGAGTAAAAATTTCTAACATGCAGTATCTTAGTTTCCCTGGGGGTAAATTTTCACATTACAGAAGATACCATAACTTTGAAAATATATTTTAAAATAATGTAACACTGTATTTGCTGCTCTGGTTTTTTGAAAAAATGTAATGACGCTTCTTCAAACAAAATTAACGAGGGTTTCAAAAAAGAACTGCTGGTGCCTGTTTCTTATTTAGATTTGCTGAAAGCAGTTGCTATTAGTAACGCACGAGAAATGTCTATCGCACCCAGAGCAGCACCACGGCGTCGTGGCAGGTATGATTAAAGCCCGGGGGGCTGCTGACCTCCGACGTGCAGGGTGTTGAGGTGGCAGGGGTAGCGCTGGGCGCGGCTCTCCAGGTACCGCACGAAGGGCAGCGCGGAGCACAGCAGCCGGTACGAGTCCTTGCGGCAGCGCAGCAGCACCGTCCCGGTGTAGGCGTTCAGGTACTTCACTGCGGGACACACGCACGGGTGAGCGGAGCCGGAGCGACCCCGCGCCCCCGGGGCCGCCCGTCTCGGCCGCACCTGTGAAGGAGATAGAGCAGCACGCCAGGCCGTAGTCCCCATGCACCCGTGCGATGGCGTCTCTGACGGCGAGGCCCAGCGCGCGGTCCTCGATGCACTGCCGGCACCGCGGGTCCTCCGAGACCACCTCGCAGAGCACGTACCTGCGGGACAGCGCGGGGTGAGCGGCGGGGCCGGCCGGCCGCGGCAGCGGCGCCGCCCGCCCGCCTCACCTGTTCTTGAACCGCACCATGGCGGCGGCGGCGCGCGGCACGGACGGACGGCGCGCCCGGCCAATGGGGAGGCGCCTCCGCGCGCTGTAGCCAATGGGCGGCGTGCGGGGGCGGGGACAAGGGGAGGACAGCGCGGCCCCCGCCGCCGGGGCGGCCCCGCCTTCCTGCGCGGAACGCGCATGCGCGGTGCTGCCGCGGGCCGGCGGCGGGGCGCGGTGTCACAGTCGTTTCGGTCGGAAAGGACCGGGGGTCATCGTGCCCGTGCTATGACCAGTCGCCACCACGTTAGCCAGACCACGTCCGGTCTTCCCTTAAACACCTCCAGGGACGGTGACTTCATCACTCTGAGTAGCCCATTCCAATGTCTGATCACCTTTTCTGTGAAGTTCTTCCTCATGACCAACCTAAAATTCCCTTGGCGCAGCTTAACACTGTGTCCTCTTGTCCTGTCGCTTGTTGTCTGGGGGAAAAGCTCGATCTCTACCTGACTCCAGTTCCTTTTCAGGTACTTGTAGAGAGCGATAAAGTCCCTCCTGAGCCTCTGCCAGGCTAAACACTCCAAACTCCCTCAGCCGCTCTTCACAAGGACACACGCTCCAGACCCTTTTTCAGCTCCGCTGCCCTCCTCTGGACCCACTGCACTGTTAGCGGAGGAAATCCTGCCAGGTTCTGGCTGGAGTACTGGACGGAGCACTTGAGGCGCGGCCCGGGCGATGTTTCCCGGCTGCCGCTGCCCGCACCATTCCCGCACGCGCCGGTTCCCGTTTATCCCGCCCGCCGCGCGCGCCGCCCCCACTGCTCCCGCCCTCCGCTGGGGGGCGCGCGCGGCCCGCGGGCCGGCGTGAGGGGGCGGCTGAGGGGGCGGCGGCAGCGCGGGGTCTGCCGGGGGTCAGGCGCTTCGCCTTTAGTCCCTCTCGCTGCCTTGCACCCACCCACCCTGGCCAAGCCCCTCTTTCTTGTCCCTAAAAAGTCTAAATTAAAAAGACGGGACGTCTCCGCGTGGTGGGAGCCGCGGGAGGTCCGGAGGAGGCGGACGAGTACCGGCCCCTCGAAGGCTTCAGCGGAGCGTTCTGGGCCTCCCCGGTGCTCCTGAAGGGCTCTGTCTTTGCTACCCCAGGAAACTGCTCCAGTATTTGTAGTTCCTCAGGTATTGGGGGTCTGGGGACATGTGCTAATTAATGACAACAGCTAAGGAAATTGTCGAACAGAGCTACTTCTTATAATTATTTCTGTAGCGGTGTTCCAAACTGTGATGTGTGACACTGTCGAGGAAGCAGGGAGGGCTCTTTGAAAAGATCTGGTAGGAGAATTAACTGAGGAGACGGGAATGAGTGGATTAAGGGAAAAGGTGTGTGGTAGATATCTGAATATGAGATGGGAGAAAGAATTTAACCGAGGTTCTTGGAGCCAAGTCACATAGGAGTGCTGAGACAGTATAGATTAAGTGGGAACTCATTGCTAATTCAGAGTGGAAACATCTTTAATGACCTTCATTCTAGACACAGAAAACAATGATAAACCCAGTGGAAATCCTGTCCTGGGTGATAAACTTCTGGCCTCTGAAACAGATGCCTGTTCTGCTGCTCTCTCTCCTTGGCTATTAACTCTTCTCCTTCACCTGTGATCGTGTTTTCAAGTCGTGTTTTTTTCTAAGAACTGCAATATGAGTTGCCTGGGGAGAAGAAAGCACGAAGCCCAATATGGACTTCGAAGAGACCTTTTCTCTTGGGCCATGATCAAAGGGACTGGGGGCAGTTTTGAAGCTAATGCGGACAGAAGCATTTTCTCAATGAGAGGACTGCATTGCATTGATCTTTGCATATTGCTCTGTGTTTTAGAATCCAAATGGGGATCTAACTGTAATCTGTTCCACTTGTCAATACCATGAGCTCCTAGGTGATAAGCTAGTCTCACATATTTGAACAAAATTAAAGTCCATGAAGATTCCCATTGATTTTTTTTTTTTTTTTTGGGGAGTGAGGTTCCAGCTTAGCCTTACAGTGTGCCTGCCAAGTATGTTTCCCTGCTGCCCCTGTGTTTGTGGTGGCATCCCCCATCCTGCCTTCCGACAGGGCTCGGGTTGCCCTGTGCTGCTCAGGTTGCCTTTATCCATCCCCTCCTTTATTTCCTTCTTGCAGAGGCACGCTGGGCTCTGACAAGCAGAGCATGTGAGTGCACTCTGCCCTGTAATCCAATAGGACGTGTGCACTGTGCGTGCTACAGGCTGGGCCCTGTGTGCAGCACAGGCCTCTGCTTTCGGTCCAGAAGGCTGATTAGGAGAGACATGGTGCAGAGAGCAGTGTTGTGAGACAGCCCCGTGCTGCTTCGTTTCACGTCGGGTATTGCCTTAGCTCCCTGGTGTTGGTTTGGAGGATGCACAGAGCAGACCTGAGTCACCACAGCTCCCTGCACAGTCACTGTCTGTGTTAGTACAAGGTGTGCAAGTCCAGTCAGGCATCCTGGGGTGCTGAGCTGACAGCACAAGACTAAAAGGTTACAACATCTTCACGTTTGTTTTCCCATCTCCTCACTCTCATCCTCTGCCAGCTCTGCTGTATGGATTCCAGTGTCAGGGATTCAAGAAACTATTGCAAGTGATGGCGAGTTATACACTCAAGGTGGGAAAGAACTGTCTCCTAAGAATAGATCTGAGAGAGAAAAAAATAAGAAAATGCTATTTAAATTGAAGAATGGGCCAAGAGAAAGGATGGATGTATCTCCTACAGACTGGGAGAGACAATGTGGCCTTGGATATCTTATCAAATAGAGGTTATGGAGGACAGAGCATGCAAGGACAGGGGGAAATAACATGCACTATCTATACACATTTACAATTTGTAAAGCAGTTTGAGAACCTTCGCTAGAAGATTCTCCATCACTGTAAATGTTCATTAGTGATTGTCCAATAAAGTGGTGGTGCTAGGGAGGTGCAGGAGGAGTACTGAGGTCTCATTTTCCCAACTTCTGTTTGTTATTTGTGGTGGTGTGCCTGCAGAGGAGCTAATAACAGTCTGGGTTGGTTTTATTACCATTTTAGTTCATTATTTGACATTTTACTACAGGCTTGATGGTCTAGACCCTCACTTTGGATTTACATGCCATCTTTATCTCCAGGTTGCAGGTCAGAATACATTTGTATGGAATAGACTGCAATAGACTGTGATGAATTCATGTTATCTTGTGTGCAGCCAGCTCCTAGGGTTTGTATGTATTTGCTGTAATTAAAATTCCTAGTAAATGTATTCAATAACCCACACACACGCACAACATTTTAGTGAATCCTTGTACTCTTTTTAGGTAGAATGCATCCATTTTATAGATGAGGAAGCTAAGGTAGAGGGGGAGTAGGCAGGTTCTTCATGGTAAATAGCTGTCAGTCTGGAGATAGAGATCAAGGACATAAAGTGAATGGAAAGAACTGGCATATCAGCACATACTGTGTTGGAGTATAGGTCTGGTATGTTGCTTGTGCATGAAGTAGCCGAGTAATTACATTCTGGAGTAAATTAGGGTGCATTGTGATACTCTGTCCTTGTGATACCACAATTATATCTTCCCTGTGTAGCCAAAATAATGATTTATGCTTCTCCCTGGAAGCACAGAACTGAATTTGCCATCAGGTGTGGTAGCAGAGCTGGGGGAGACAACTACATTTTGTTCCACTGTATGCACATTGCATCCCCAGATAACCTCAGCGCTGAAAATACAAAACAATCTGGCTAAAATTAAAAACTGCTTCTTAAATCCTGTCTGATGTTGCCTGAAGCCTTTTGTTCAGTTTATCTTCACAAGGTCACTGAGACAGAAGAGTGCATTCTGTGAGCATGCTGGCCTGGAGCTTTTCATGCAGATGCTTTCATTTAACATTTGGGACATTCTCCTTCTCCCTTAGGTCTCTTCATTTGTACTCTCCCTCATTTTCTGTCTCTCTGCTCTTCACTTTTGAGTTCAGGTTCCCTCTGATCAATACACTTAAGACTAAAAGCTATCCCCTTTTATTATCACCCTAACCTGTAATCATTAATCATAAGCTTTCTGTGCACCCAAGCTGTCATGGGTTGGAGACTGCTGGTCTGTCAGAGCTGCCACACGAGCTACCCTGTGTTCTGCCTGCAGCACTGCCCTTGTCTTTGCTGTCATCCTGCCACGTGGAGTGATTGTCTTGCAAAACCATGTGTTCGAAGCAAATTCTCTTGCAGCTTCTTTCAGTGCTGGCAGTGTGATCTTGGGCTACTTGCTTAAGTTCAAAATAGTAAATTCACGTTTCTTTGATTTTTTTTAATAGTCAAGAACAAGATGTGCTCTGAGAGACATCCAATGTGTTTATAAGGGGAACTTCCATTAAGATATTGGAAATTGGAAGCCACATTGAATATTGAGGCCAAATATTAAGATCTGATAAAAGTCATTAAGTGTCTGTGTATTTGGCATGTGCTGTCTAGCATGAACACAGCATCAGGGATGTGCATGTGCAGCAAAAATCAGTGTGAGAGAAGAGCATTACAAAAAGGTGATGTGCCAAGTGAGAAGTTGGACCCAGAATTCTGAGTTTCATTTTCTCCAGCTCTGCAATGGGGATAATTGTAAATACCTTATTCATAAATATATGTCAAAAATTAGTAAACTGTCCACTTGAATGTTGCTATTTATCAAATATGGTAAAACTGCTGCTCTGTAGGAGAGATCTGTAGGCAGCACACTTCATTTGCAGCAAGCTGCTGCAAGAAGCTAACAGCTGCTTCCAAACTAGTTAATTAAATTAATCAAGAACTAGAATATTAGTTTAGATAGTTCAGGATTCTCTTCTGTTTCCTTTCCATATTAGGGAACACATAACTCAACTGTGAACCAGATAACTTACTATGTAATCTGCTGTGTAAAACCCCCATATTTAATACCTCCTTAACGGGGATGTTAAGATGGATTAATTATTCTTTGTTCTGGTCTCTGAAGATAAAGGGTAATTACTATTAATTATGTGTAATTGAAAAATTGCTCCTTCACGACGACTCCAGTAGCATTAGCAGGATTTTAACTTTTTGCTGCCTATAGGGAGTCTTACAACATTCCATAATGTTATGGCAAAGCTTTCCATGAACTGAAGAAGGGTCTCAGCAAGTCTTACCCACTTTCCAGCCCACACCTGAGACCAGGATTTTCAGACACAGCAGATCTCGGAGCAGCCTGCGAGACAGGACTCATGTTTTGTTCTGTGCTGAATGCACTGAAACAGGAGGTGCAATTTGAAGGGATGGTTGTTAATTGAAGATGCTGTAAGACTTTTCCTCTGTAAAATTCCAGAAATCTGTGGAATAATCACTAAAGGGAAAGTATAAGAAAACAACAAACAACCCCAACAAAGTGAGAGATTGCCTATCTGGGAAGGAAGCTTACGAAAAAAAGAAAAAAACCACCCATGACTCTTTAGTAACCAGTACATCTTAGACAGCAGAGGTGTCTGACAGAGTGGAGACTGTGTTGAGATATTTGAATTTAGCTGAAAAAGAAAAGAAAAATTAGAATTTTTACAAGAGCAGAGCACTTTCAATTGTATAAAATTAGCGGATAGGTTTGCCTGCAACCTGAAATTCCTAACAGCCTCACTGATTTCTGTTGTCAAAATATGTAGGTATATAACTTCCTTTAATTACAGTATGAGCTGGGCACCTTCCTGTGCATAAAAATCTGACCTTTAAGCTCTCCAGGCAAAATAAGGATAATGGCGTTTATCTACTTCAAGGAGTGCTACAAATAAATTATTATTATGCACTTAGGCAATATAATAAAAGAGATAACAGAAACTCGTATGGCATAAACACAGCCTACCCTGAGTAACCTTTTTCACATATGAGTTGGTGTAGGGGCCACTCTGAAACATAAACAATGCGTCTGGTGCTGCTGTCATCTTGCAGATCTTTGCTCTCTGCTTTTCATCTCCCCTGAATTCCCATGAAGAGATTAAGCCAAGGCCCTATTTTACAGTAAGATGTATCTGCTTATGTTGATGCATATTGAATAATCCTTTCTTTACGTGGCTTTATGTTTAACTCCAGCAGCCTAGAAGCAGTGTGGGATCAGAGTCTTCCACAGAGCACTGGGCTCCCCGATGAGGGAGGCAATGAAAAACATTTTCCAGTGTATCCATCACTCAGTGCTGAAGCATCCTGGAGCAGCCTTATATAATGCGTGCCTGCTGCCTGGCTCTGGCTGGGCAGTGGCAGCGTGTGCAGGGGAGAAGGGGGGCTGTGCAGGAGCTGCTCAGTGGGGTACAGCCAGGGCACCCCTTGGCAGCTGCAGGGCCTTGGCTTGTGCTGGTGTCAGCTTGGTGCAAGGAGTGTGTCAGTCACTGCCTGGCTGGGGCACGCGGGTCTCAGCTCTTTTCCTGACCCACTCTGACAGAGACCTCTCTACCCGTCTGTTCTTGCCTAGATCAAATTTTAGCTGCAGCGTCCCACAGCCCAGCACAGCCAGTGAAAGCCCCTCAAAAGCAGAGTAGGGTGCAGTGTGAGGTGTGATTTGGGTGGGGAGAATCAAGAGCGACTTTGTTTCTGCTGTGCTGACTGGGGGTGCTCACAAATGCGGTAAATGCAAACAGATTTCCAGAGGCAATGGCTGTTACAGATCAGAGAAGACAAAAAGCACTGGGAGCGTCTGGCCTATTTTGGGAAGCTTGCTAAGGCTTTTTTAAATTATTTTTTTCAATTTTTTTTTTTCTAAAGATGTGCTTGCATGTGAGTCAGAGTGTCAACATTTGCCACTTTTTTTAGCTATATGCACCATGAAGACTGAAGCAAACAAAAAAATATATATCTTGCTGGATTTTCAAAGCTGTTGCCACCAGTTGCCTTGAGGGCACAGGAGTTTGAGCTACATTTGAGATGCCTTCTGCCTGCTGCTGGTTGGTTCCAAGCTAGAGCTCCTGGTGATGCACATAAGAACCTTTTCTCAGTGCTTGATAGCATCTGCCACAGTGAGATGATTGGAGGGAATTGACCCAGGGTACGTCCCTCAGGCCTCCTCAGGAAAATTCCACAGTGTTCATGCTGGAACTCAAGGAGTTGTTTCTATGTGACCTTCTGTGTTCCTGTTTCATACCTGTGATGCATAAAAGATCATGTTTATCCCCCTGTAACATTAGTGACTTAATTAGAGCTGAATTTGGTCCTAGTGTCTCTGAACATGAGCAGCTTCCATCAAGTCATCTAAAGGATCATATCTGGTTTCTTCTCTCTCTCAGTATTGGTGGCATCTGGTTTCATTTTCCATCTTTCCTAAGAGAGCTCACTTTCCCTCACATTTCAGCATATGCTTGTTGTATGTCAGCACCCTGGGCTGCCCACGTGTCCGTGCCAAGCCAAGTACCACTGCTCCAGCCAGCAAGACACAAGATGGTGTAGAGACAGAATGTGAGACACATCAGCAATTACATCAGCAATTACATCAGCAATGATTGTGGACTATGTGTAGCTTAAAACCAGAACCTGCTTACAGGTCAAGAAACTAAGCTGGAACCAGTAAAGTGTGGGGCTTTTTCCTCTGTGTAGGATGTGTAGAAATAGCAAGACTTTTATCCTGTAGAAATCAGTGGGTTTGCAGTGTGGCTGCTCTTTGCCAAGACCAAAACTGGCACTGTAGGGACACCATTTTCAGGGTAAGTGCCAGGGAGGGACCCTGCTGATGCAATAGTGCCACACTTGCAGCATTGCAATTTAATGTCCAGCACTGTCTGCAGGACATCCCTGATTATTTCTGAAGATGCTGGCATGGGAAATTTTTTAGATGTCACAGTTTGTTTCCAGAAGATGCATTGGCTCTTTTAACTTGTTCTAATTCTTCTGCTTCCTTCTTCCCACCCTGACTACTTGGCCAAACTACAAATTTTCTCAGCTTTGTTTGTGGCACACAGAAGGACAGCTATTCAATCAATAAATATTAAGTTTTTATTTTATTTATTTTATAAGATGTAGGATTTTTTAAAAGCATAAAATGATGATTTTGAATATTTATTAGATTCCTCTAATATATACGTTCCATTTCAACTCTCAACATTTTTATGTATATTGCTGCATTGATAAATATTGCTATTACTTGAAAAAGAATATATACTCTCTGTTGTTTCTCTATTATTATTATAATGTTATCCAGAATTGTAAGATCAGCACCTGTGAGTCAGATCACAGACAGTAACAAAATAATTTTAGAATGATTTTATTTAATTAATTTACTTAAATTATACATACTAAGCACTTTTATTTTTGGGACTTGCAGGGTGCAGGTCTTTCTCTGTAAGTGTGGGGGCAAGTAACTTCATTAGTCTTTTAATAGTCTCTTAGCATCAGAGACGTATGGTGTCATCTCATATTGAAGATCATTTTAAAATAAAATTGCAGCAATTTATAACATGGATACAGAGCTCCTGCTCCTGTTAATGTTCCCTCCTACTCCACCCCATATTCTCCAACAGAAAGCTACCACAGTGACAAAGACAGGAAATTGAAGGACAGGTACTAAATCTCAAGTTCAGTTCTTTGGTGCCTTTCACACATTATAGCTTTATAGAGGAGGTGATGTTTTGAGGACAGGGTATGAGTAACTTTAGATTAAGTAATGGACTTAAGAACTTCCTATGCAAGCAGACTGTGGCTGTCAGTGCCGAGTAACCATGCCACTGATGCAGTCTGCTGTTCTCTGTATCATTATTCATAAGCTGCCATGCCGAACAGCAATCAAACTCCTCAGGCTGTGCTGAGGGGATTATCACACTCTCAGGGTGGTTAAAGTCACTTTGCCTCGAGTCTTCTGCCTTTGTAAAGTGCCCAAGGCTAATCACTGTGAAATGTGACGCCTGTCATGTCTTCTTGTTCAAGTATGTGCAGCAGGCCTGTCATTCACTGAAAGCCTTAACATCTGTTATTTCATGGTAATCCTCATGCATCAGGCTTCCAAATAAGACACCGGTGGAGTCCAACAAGGTATGGCTGAGCCTTGGTTTGCATAATTCCCAGAATGCAAGGCAACTTGCTCTCCCTTCTGAAATCATTAATAAGCAATAAGAATATTATATAAGCTGGCATCTTTTTTTAAACCATGATAATTTCAAATGCTATTATAATTAGGATGAAGATGAGAGTTTGAGCTGGGGGAGGGAACAGAGAAAGGATTAAGCTGATCTCCACCATGACGTTAGAAGGTAGCTTTGTCTGCTATATCCTAGTTTGGACAATAATGGATATGTTTTAGAAACATGAAGAGGCAAATGGACAATTTATTTAAAAGTATTAATCCTTTTCATCCTGAAATGTTATCTCTTGCCATAAATAGGATCACAGTTCTCCAGTCCACTTACATTCTGACTAATTGACCCTGTAGAAAAGCCTGAAGAGCAATATGCTTGTGTTGTACCTGGTGACTATTGGCTACATAGTGGGTCTCATAAAGTGTACAAAAATATTCTGTGGCCAAGAATATCTTTGCTTAAGCCAGAGTGATTACTTGGTGATTGAGACTGCAGTGCTATCACATCACAAGACATGGCATCTTGGGTGGCAGGTCCCAAGCCTGACAGATCAGATGTGATACTTTAATAAAAAAATGTTTAGTGTCTTAATCGAGGAGGTGGGACTTGCTGGAGGAGGAAAACCAGATGCAAATATGGTTCATAGATGTAACTAATAGGGCTGCTTCCTTTGGAATAGGGAAGATGTAAATAGGCACTTTCAAAATCGTTTCTCTCTAATGCTGCAGCAGCCCTTGGATCTGAGCATGTTCCTGATGTTCCCCCTCACTCACATGCACGAACACGGGGAGGCAGGCGGGAGGAGGCAGCTGCACTGACACACTATGGGGTTTGCAAGAACACGATGGCAATTTAGAAGAGCGATTAAAAGATTGCAAACATTTATTAATAGCTTTGCTGCTGCAGCAGCTCTGCCAGAGAAGCCTTGCTTCCTCTGGGATGCTCTTACCTCCTGCCTGTTCCCTTCCAGAGCTTTAGAAATTGAAAAGTCAGGTTTGGACTGGGTTTCAGTTTAAAGCCATCATATTGCAGACTAGATTAACCCACTACCCAGGTGAGGGGGCAAGGGGGACTCGAGTGTGAGAAAGAAACAAGAGAAGGTACACAGAGCAAAAAGATTTTTTTCCCAACTATTTCTTGGTCTTTCTTTTCTTCCCTGTGCTGCTTTCTCTTTCTTAAATTGTTCCTCTTTACCCATTCCATCTCTTCTCCCTTGGGACAGAGTGATATTTTGTTCAGTGCATTGGCACTAGATTCAGATTGGGGCCTACAGTGCCCTTTTTATACTGTATAACAAAATCAATGAAAGCTGGGCATAAAAGCAATACTGGAGAGCATCTGCTGAAAATTCTGCAGAGCGATCTAATTTCCTAACCCTAGCATAATCAGTTCCTTTGTGAATCCCATGACTCTGTTGATGTCTCTTCAGAGTTTTAAGAGTGGGCATAGGGAGGAGGTGAACATTCAATTATATATATTAAAAAAAAAAAGAAAAATAAAGGAAAGGAAAGGGCAATTGGCAAAAGAGCAAGAAATCACCTTAATCTTCATGCTGATCCTGCTGAACAGCAGTAAGCACTGTAAATTAGATGGGCGATTCTGATGTTGGAGCGCACAGTGTCTGAGACATTTTTATCCCACAGAGCAGATAATGGTGACTGATTGATACAAGTTTGCAATAGGAGGATATTTATCTTACACATATGGTGACCTCCTCTATATTCCTACCCACAGTAAAATAACCAGTTTCTTCCTCTTTTTATTTTTCTTTTCTAAACTGCATCCTAAGAGAAACCAAAATGTCCAGACAAGCTAAAAGGAATATACTTTTCTGTTAAACAAAAAAGACAGCAAATATAAATGCTGTGTCCTGGCCAATATTTGAAGTCCTGGCGAATATTTGAAGTCCCAGTCAGCTATAGCTCAGTTGGATGACAGTGCACTTCAACTGTGGCATTTCCTGTGCACTGTGGTCAAGCAACTGGACGTACATTGAGCATCAGCACCTTTCTACCTGTGCTTAACTTTTTAGTTCCATTAGGAGCATTTTTCTTTGGTTCATACACTCATTTTAACCATTCCACCTTGCAATTTTAGAAAAATCTTGTTGCATAATTACTACATCTCTGCTCAGTGCAGTAGAATAGGCAGAGGGGAAAGCAATGTGGATTCAGTGGATCAGAAAGGAGAAAAAATTATGATGGTGAAAAAAAGCAGGAATGAAATTAGAGTTGAATTATGGGTCCTGGCTTACTGTTGCCTGAACCTGCTGTGGCCTGAGATGGAATTTTTTAACTGCTTCCCCTGATCCTCAAAGTTTTTAGTTTAAATATTTTCTTGGTCAGTTTTCAAGTGTAGTGTTTGGAACTTGATGGGTATGAATTTTTGTCTATTGCAAGGGAGTGTTGCTTATGAACACTCCTGGTTACCTCTGTTCACCTCGTACAGCATGCTCTTTGTGGGAAACTGCACAAGCTGAGACAAAACAGAAAACATCCTCCCATGGGATGTTTAGGAAAATCTGTATGAATTTCTGAGAGATTGGCAGAAGAGTCTAGGACTTTAAAAGGCTTGCTTTTCTAGGAAATATGTGTAAAACTGAACAATCCTAGGCTAAAAGACAGAGAACCCACCAATATATTTGAACTAATTGCTTGTTAACTTTTTGT